CTGGTTCGCAAAATCGTTTCCCGCTATAGAAATCTGCATATTTTTTTCGGGAGTCTGTACGCGAGATCTAGGCACGTTTGAGAGGAGATGTTAAAACGGGAGGGTGGCACACGGAGTGGGAATATGTCCCCGAAATTTCAGCCTCCCACCTTTCCTGTTTGCTGAGTTGAAATTGGGTGACAAAGTTCACTTACTTTCGAAAACACACGCATACAGACGACCGCTCTACAATATGTGCTTTTGCCCGCTGTAGCAGCGCTGTAGCGCTGCACAGCAAGAACTAAAAACCCGAAATTCGTTTTAGTCCCAGTCCCTTTCCCCCTATCTCCAATAACGCCACTGACTAGATTTCTGAGTGTGTAATTATTTTGCGGAAAAAATTTCTTTTCGTCCAAGACAAAAAAGAAACAGAACACATTCGCAGACTAACCAGGACAAGGACCAGCAAACTGTTTGTTGACCGGATTACCATGACATATAGCTCGCTTCACTTCGCAGTACGAATTATAGGTCCTTCCATCGGTCCCGCAGATTGGTTCAGCGCTCATTTCTTCGTAATTACACAGTTTTTGCATAAAACATTCCTCCTCTTCCTGCTGAAACGCTTATTATTATGCGTTTTTGCATATATGCAAATTGCAAAAACGCATATCGGGAACTCTGTGTGTGTCTGTGTGTTCGCATTTTTTGTCACCCACTTTCAACTCGAAAACCAGAAAAGCTAGAAGACTGAAACTTTGCGAGTATATGTCCATACCATGCGCCACCCTCCTGTTTTAATATCATTCCCCGCGGACGCCTGGGTGCCGCGTACGGACGCCTTAAAAAAATATGCAAATTTTTTGGCGGAGACCACACGAGCTAAGGAGCCGAAACTTTGTAGAGATATTCCCTGCTTATGTGCTAGCTGAATATTTCAAATTCATCCCCCCGGTATGCCTGGTACTCGCATAAGGGCGTACGAAAATTTTAGGGGGAAAATTGTTAACTCGAGAACCAGGAAAGCTGAAATTCTCTACTCAATTACAACACAAATGTTTCAAAGTCAGCCCAAGCTGTGCGCAGTACTCACGCAAGGGCATATGAAAGTTTATTCAGGAAAATTACTAACTCGGCAACCAGAAAAGCTGGAAGGCTGAAATTTTGGGGGGATATTCCCTGTCCAAGTACAACTTAAGTATTTCAAACTCAGCCTTGAGGTATGTGTGGTTCGTACGTACGAGAGCTTAAGAGCCTTGGCGGAAAAATTTCTCGCTAAACAGCTGGGTTACTTTTTAAGAATGACCGTTAAATGGAAAATGTGAATTTTCTTTATGCAAAATTTACTGATTTAAGCTAGTGACTGCAAAAGGTAG